AGCATCACCCGGTTTAACCGGCTCTTTGTTATTGAAAAAAATATTATCATTAAAAACACCTTAAGAACATTAAAAGAAAAAAATCACTTTGAGGACGACTCTTCGTTTTAAAACAAGCTAGATGCATTTTTTAGTAAACGTCATATTTTACACTTTCTAACTTTACAGGTGGAGGACAACCTCAGGTGTTCCTCCGTGCATTTAGTCAAACACGAGCGTGCACCAGAGTAGAACCACCTAGTTTTTTCCTCGCATGAAAGGATCCAAACTTCATGGCGGTAATCAATAACACAGTATGTCTGTCAGTAATGTTGGAATCTAAACAAAAGTATCACGTGCATCGAAATTAGGCTTATGACAGATATGCATGCATTACATTTTTAAACTTTTAGCTTTTGCCATATAACAAACAACTACGACATGTACTATTTAAATAAAATCGAATTGAAAGATAAAAATCAGTTAAAAGAAGCTCTAAGTCAAAGAATTCCATTTTTATAAACTCTTAAATATTACATCCGTACCATCATCATTGCTCATGAATTATCACTACATTTTGTCATCTATATATCACCATAAACACTTTGATAAAACAACCATATTTTTAAGTTTATTTTTTGACATTTTCTTCAATCATTCTGTCAGTTTTCTTATGCTTATTCAAATATTATGGCATAGATATGCATTTTCTTTGATGCATGTCTGAGTAGCTGGACCTACAAAAGATGTTGAGATAGATTTTATAATATCGTACTTTGATATACACTGAGACGCTTTATTATATAGTTCAGTTTGCTTCATGTTAAATGGTTTATGAAATATGTAAACAATGATTGTTCTTCTTTTCCTGCTACTACATCTATTACTTTGTCCTTTTTTTCTTTTGAAATTAAATGATATATATCATATATTCATTTATACCTTTATCTTCTAATATAGCGCTTTTGATTGATGAGAATGAACCGAAACCGTTTCAAAAAATGAAGAACAAATATAAATGTGATAATTATTTTTGCAAAAGTACATGTGGCAAACGGATCTTGATACATCAGGGTGTTGTGGTGACGCATGTACATGAGGGAATAGACTAAATTATCACTATTTGCCGAACGAGTTATAGAAAGGAAAACGTAAGAAAATACATAACTGTTTTTTATTGTTGGTAAACATACTTGTTTAATTTTATATTCTCTCCTCAAACAGGGAGTACTTGTTACTAATGGCAGTGCATTACACAAGTTGATAGAATGCGTTTATAAGTTTCATATGCATGTTACAGATAATCATGCGCATTTGAAAGATATCATTACAATTAGTAACATTTAAATATATACTATGTTCTTATTTGGGTAAAATACTCTTATTGCAGAAATTTATTGAAATCTAGTAAATTCTTCCTGAATTTGTATAATTTGAATAAGTGGAACTATTCCCTATTACTTGTCAAATAAGTTTGGTTTATTCTTATAAAAGCTGCCAGTATTTTTAATTACACTATGTAATCAAACTGTGATTACCTGTAGTGTGTAGAGATTAAAACATAGCATATTATCTCTGTGTGTATTCAAAAGATGTTTATTCTACATTTCCAAGCAGACTGTATAGTAATTATCAGTGTTTTCAAATACCAAATTTGACCATAATATTTCTTTAAACTTAACAATTAATGCTTCTGGTTACCTGCAAGTAAATGAATAATTCTAAATTTTAATTCTTAAAAACCCTTTTCAGATCGTAAATCACACTTATCTCTTGAAATATACCATTAATACAAGTCCACGGATATAAATTGCCATTAGGGCTGAACTAATATATGAATTCATAAACATGTATATGATAAAGCTATCTATGCCTAATCTGATAAAAGTTACCCACTACTTTTAATATTGGCAGAAGAAAATCGGCGTTTTGTGGTATCTAAAAGGAATTTTTGCAGCCATTAAAATATGCACCGATTACATTCACTGTTACAGATATCTCTACAGTATAAAAACGTAAAATGAGACTTGATGTCGAACATTAAAATTATATCAGAATATAAAAACGTAGAATTTGTCTTTTGCGTATTCTTATCTTTTAAACAAAACGGTTCTGTCTTCAGACCCATAACATTTTATCAGAGCATCAACTGTAATTGATTATACTTGTAATTGTTTCAGAATTTGTTTTCTTAAGAGAAAAAGATTTATACAGATTTGTTAAACGAAAACTGAATCAGGAAGCAATTCGTTAACGAACTGATTACTATAAAGTGTGTTTATTCGGATTTTTATGACAAAGATGGTCATATTTAAGGACAATTATAGAAAAGCCAAAACTTAAAGAAACTTTATATGAGCCCCAATCAAATTTGGCAGCCTTACAATTGAGCTATGCTATTAATACTAGCAAAACATGCATAATCGTGCAGGGGCAAGGAATTGATTGACAGAAAATGTCAAAAAGCCTGTTGTACACCTTCGTGAAAAACATGCATCATATAGTCGGAATTGTCTCTTGAGTTTACATTGATATAATTACGTCATATGTTGCCATAATGTTGTCATATGTTGTCAGAGCCTTGCTTCAAATGATAAGTGAATTATGGCTGTTTAAGACTGCTTCATTGTTGTCAAAGAAGTGAGGAAATTTCAGAAGTGAATGTTTTTCTTTGAATTCAACTTACCTCTACAAAAATTCTTCTTAAAACGACACTTTATTCTACAGTTGAAATGAAAAGTATAATGATTCATAGAACCAAATTTAACAATATTTCACGAATTTAATGAATCGAAGTCAAAAAGAAATTGTTACTATAATTATTTGTGGTTTGAAAGAGATTCCCCTGTCTTAACATTTTCATTGTTAGTAATGATCGATATTTTATAGATTATTATTTAGATATGTTCACTTAAATGAGTTACTGGTTTTAATACTTCATATTCAATGACACATAAATAATAAAAAGAATATGTCAAACTTAACCTTGAGCCTCTTTGACATTAAGAATGTGCTCCATAGTTCAATAATTGTTTAAGGATCTGGAGAAAACTTCAGTTAATGAGAAATAAAGCTGTGTGTAGAATAAGTGTGTACTCTCTTTGAACTATTGTCAGTGTTCGTTAAACATTTAATGCATGGATTAAAATAATAACTGACGCTCTTTATTTATTGTGCGGTTTTCCAGACTAAATTTGCGGAGAAGACCTCATATTCCTTCCTTTTTCCAGCAATAGCCGTCACCGCTTGGAGCCTAAGAAGAGCCAACGACCTTTTATGGTGTCCTTCCATTAAACAATATGAATGCATGTACCAAATTAGCTTTTCTTTTCAACATTTCTTTTCAGTATGACATTCAAGAAAGTTACAAAGACGTTTTATAAATTTAAAGAATATTTGAAACATAAATCCCTATAGATGTTTTCAGCTTCCAGATAACATCAAAAGTAAAAAATGACTTTGAGATGTAATATTTCAGAATATGCAAAGATCAACTTGAAATATCGGCAATGCTCGAAACAAATAAATATATATTTTGTTAGGCTAGTTATTTTATATAATTTCTCGAAATACTTTAAATCCAATTTCGAAATTGAAAAGTATATTTCTCATGAAACGTCACAATATGTAATTGTGTAGAGAAACGAAAGTAATTTAATTGATATGTCAAATAATGGCTAGATTGATCCCCCTGGAAAATTGTGTACAATATACATGTATATGGAATTGTCTCAGAATTTAAGATAAATGTGTCAAAAGGATACACAAATCTGTGATGATTAATTAAAAAAACAGTCCTTTCATAAGACAGACTTGACAAAGAACTAACAAGCCAAGTTCTTTTAAGCAAGATTGTATAAAAAAGGCATTTCGTGTACCGTGGCCATTGTAAAACCATGTGCATCCGAATATTTCCTTAACTGTTCTTGAAATATTTCAACATTTTTACTTGCAGCAGTCTGTTAACCAAAATGTATAAATATATTTAATTAATATGGTATGTTCTACTATGTCATCGTTATGTCAGATGACAAAATAAACAACTCGTTTCCTATTTAAATCTTCTTTCTATTTATAAGCTAAATTATATATTGAAAAAACGACAGCATTGTTAAAGTATATGTTTGCGGAAAGAGTGTAATGGTGATAACAGTGACATGATATATCATCGCTGTTTCAATAAAAGGGCATATGGGCTCCTATCGAGATATAAAGGCTTTGTTATGCTGAAACAAGAGTTCTGCAGGGATACAAATGTGGTATATATTAAACTGTTGTTTAACAATCACTTAAATACGACATTCATTTTCAAATTGCTGATATGAAGCTATGAGATATATTGTCTATATGTGCAATGTATATCTTCGTACCATACGTCGTTCTGACAGATTAAACACAATTGGAAAAACATATCTGTAGTAAATGAATATTTAGTAGTGTTACACCTAAGATTATAGATGACAACGACATAGTCGTATTCTGGTATTAATTATAGTATTCGGAACTGTTTGGTTTTGTACCTTGTATGATATATAGAAAAAACGTGTTTACAGAAATAAAAAGCCATTCATTGAAATTTCTCTACTTATTTTATATCCCTGAGGCAGAATTATAAAAGTGGCGACGAGTATAAACATTTGTTATCAACATGCCTTTGTTTGGGAAGATAAGTGAATTTCAGGAGGGCAAGGAAAGCTTTCTAAACTACGAAAAACGGTTGTCTCAATTCTTCGAAGCTAATGAAGTGCCGAATGAAAAAACAGTTCCTGTTTTTCTGTCAGTTATAGGATCGTCGGCATATGGTATTCTTAAGAACCTAGTTGCACCTGCACTCCCCAAGGATAAAACATATGCTCAGCTTGTGGAACTCTTGAAAAATCATTATAACCCTAGGCCTCTAACCATTTCTGAACGTTTCAAATTTAATAAACGCAATCAAAAAGAGGGAGAAAATGTATCCGAGTATGTGGTTGAACTTAAACGTTTGTCTACTTACTGTGATTTTGGAACATTTTTGGAGGATGCATTGCGTTAGTCCTACAAGAGGAGTCCCTACCTTAGCAGCCTCCCGTTTACAAAGATGGGCCATTCTTCTATCAGGGTACCAGTATGACATTAAGTATCGCAAGTCTGCGGCGCATAGCAACTGTGATGGGTTATCACGATTGCCTATAATAAGTGAGGAGGTTGAAGATTCAGAGGATTTAGTTTCCTTCATTGAGGATCTTCCAGTTGAAGCTAGTGTCATTGCAAATGCAACAAGAAAATCTCCACTTCTGAGTAAAGTCATTGATTTCGTGTTAAGTGGGTGGCCTAAACATAACAATGATTCAAGGCTACGACCATTTTTCAGCAAACGATTTGAGCTTAGTTTTGATCATGGATTGTTACTTTGGGGCTTACGAGTGGTAATTCCAGAGACTTTGCAGAACACTATTCTCACAGAACTGCATGATCAACACATTGGAGTAAACCGTATGAAATCTCTTGCTCGCGTTTATGTATGGTGGCCTAACTTGGACGCAGAAATTGAACACATTGCGGCCACCTGTGAAACTTGTCAGTCGTTGAGAAAAATCCCGGCAGAAGCACCATTACATCCATGGGTTCGCGCTTCACGCCCTATGGAACGTATTCATATTGACTTTGCAGATTTTAAGAACCAGTCATTTTTGATATTAATTGACAGTTACAGCAAGTGGCTTGAAGTACTTCCAATGAAAAGCACAACAAGTGAAAAAACAATTGACAAACTAAGATGTATTTTTAGTTACACAGGATTACCCGAGGAACTGGTTTCAGACAATGGTCCACAGTTTACATCAGTTACTTTCAAGGATTTTATGAAAACGACGGGTATTAAACACACACTTACTCCCCCTTATCACCCATCTTCAAATGGACAGGCAGAAAGGGCTGTCCAGATTGTTAAAAATGCTTTGAAAGCAAGAATTAAGGATAATAGTACAAGAATCAACACTTTAAGTCTTACACATCTTCTTGCAGACTTTTTATTAAAATACAGGATAACCCCACATACTACCACTGGGATTGCTCCGTGTGAGTTGTTCATGAATAGACAGTTACGTACAAGATTGAGTTTAGTAAAACCTTCTAAAGACAGTAAAGTAAAAGACAGTCAAACGAAAATGACAGTCAATCATGATAAATCTTCAAAATTGAGAATATTCGAAAAGGGTGATCGAGTGGCCGTAAAGACCACAATTAATGGGAACAAATGGGAGTGGAAACCAGGTGTCATTCATAAGGTACTTGGAGCCGTTTCCTATTTGGTACGTTGCAACAACCGTCTAAGATTCTGTCATGTTGACCATCTAATTGCGCGATATACAGAGTGGTCATCTAGTGAGCCCTCAAGTGAGTTGCAGGCTCCCAATCAGAATTCTACACATTCTGAAGGTTGTGTCCCAAACCATGAACCTTCGGTGGAGGTCTCGTCTCAACCATCTCAACCACTTGAACCAATACCTAATCAATTACCTTCAAACCCACCGCCTTCACCTGTGCCAACTTCTGGAACAACTGAGTCAAGTCCAGTGAAGGAAAGACCGAAACGTATCGTTAAAACACCACAAAGACTGAAAGATTATGTTTTAACCAAATATTAGTGCATACACTGTGTTTAAGGCTATAATAATGCCGGTGATGCACTACAGAACTCTGGTTCTGTTTAAATTCAGTATTTTTATGGTCATATTGTAAATTTTACATGTCTCTAAAACAACAAGTTTAATTTTTCAGACAGTCTCACGTATATAACACTGTTTACAAGATCTTTGTAATAGATTAAAATCTAGTTTTATTTTGGACAGTTCTAGTCAAGACAAAACAGTATTAATATGTAAACAATATAAAAAGTGTGACTTGTACGTGTATATGAACTCATACTTCTTTCTTTAAAGAGGGGAAGAATGTAGTAAATGAATATTTAGTAGTGTTACACCTAAGATTATAGATGACAACGATATAGTCGTATTCTGGTATTAATTATAGTATTCGGAACTGTTTGGTTTTGTACCTTGTATGATATATAGAAAAAACGTGTTTACAGAAATAAAAAGCCATTCATTGAAATTTCTCTACTTATTTTATATCCCTGAGGCAGAATTATAAAAATATCAACATTTATTCTGACACATCCGTTCGATCAGTCTGACAAGTTTCTCGAATTTGTTGTCATGATATTGGAGATGATGCATTTTCTTTTCTGCATGTCTGACACGTTAGAGACATTTTTTATTTATTTATTGAATTCTTTTTAACTTTTAATGATGAAATTAGATTATCTTTAGTTTAGAAAAAAATACATGTATCACTATTGCATATTTATGAGGGTATTATAAATCTTAAATTAAGGGAACAAAGCGTTTCATATTAGAAATGAATCATGAACGGTTTATTCGTAGATATAAAAAAAGAAAAGATCGAGATTTGTAATTGAATAGCAATGAAAAATGTATACAAACATGCTGAACTCAATAACTACATAAATAAACAAACAAACAATTTTGTTACACAAGTAAAAACTTATAATATCACTAGTTTAGAGTGATTCAACTATGTAGGTATCTATTTTTGTTCCTTTGAATAGTTTGAACTGTAAAAAATATTTTATAGTATTCCTGTTAAAGATTTCTAAATATATCAGAATAAAATAACTCTAAATTTGGCTGAAATGTTCGCAGTCAAGACGAAATTAAAACACTATACCTCCTTTACCTCTTTGACATAACCGTGCTCTTTGTTCAGAAATATCACTGATAGGTCTGCCCGTTTCAATTTTACATTATACAAATAAATCATCAAAGGTGCTTATTTAGGGCTGACAAATTAAGAATTTAATTGATTTGAGACTACATGAGAACTGCTATAAATTAAAAAGGTCATAAAATACCATATGATTCATTCATAGACACATCTTAGGAAATGTTTTGTCAGCTAAGTTATAAATCTGACATGGACCGTGTTTCACTAATTAATACAAACTAATTGAAGCAATCAGGCTACGATTTGATTACCTTGCTTAATTAAAATAATGAGAATCATTGAGTTTTTTTTCTCCACTGAAATTTTCTAAGATGTGCCATTAAGGTTATTTAATACATTTCTAATGTTTTACAAATACCGAATTTTCCTTTTGGCTATTTCCGTTGTCGAGTAATGAACTGAATTACGCCCATTGACTTACAACAATATTTATTTGCATATTTGCATTATAATACAAACCAGTCTGAAGTGGTCTTTCAGGGACAGCTTTGAAATACGGAAATGATAAATAATATATGTCAATTGAGGATTAAGTTATAATCTGTTCATCTTTGATAATGTTCTGAGCATAAAATTCATCCAAATATGATATAATAAAAATAAAGTTTTACTTTACTAAGAATGTTGCATGCTGAACATTAAGCGTAATGTCAAAAAAAGGTTTGGTCAGCTGAAAATAAATGAAACGAAATGGTAAATTGAAAATATCACTTCTTTTGTTGTACTTTGTACAAAGTACGCAGTGCATTAAAGTGACGTATGATTTGATGCCTCGGTATTTAAGAATGTACACTTTGCTCGTTTGTCGAGAAACTACGGAATATCATTACTTTTGAAACGCCAAATGGCTTTTACAGTCATTTCTGCACGACAGTATAGTATGATTTGCCTGCGTGTGATTATACTTTTTGTCATTATTAAGAGTCAAAACGAAAACTGTGGCCATGATAGCAATACCATTGAAACTTACATAAAGGACATTTTGTTAGACGGCTTTTCCTTTGACTAGCCTTCAAGTTTTTTTTATTCCAAAATGCACGATTTTTGGCAATTTAAATCTGCGCATGTAACAAGAGTAAAGACTTTGATCTTCATTTTCCTTCATTTATATAAATCTTTGGTTACTAATTCAATGTCCTCCTTATCCCCAATGATGTCATTAAAGGTCGGCAACTTGATTCTATAATATAATTCGTATTTTATTATTGTTTCAAATTATATTAGCTTAATACTATAACAAAAATAAAAACACTCTGCACATTTGTTATTAATGATTTAAATAAATTGCATATCAAGTGAAACGAAAATGATAAATATGAAATGTCAAGTTGAAGCCAGGGTCTTTATCACATCGCATGCGTTCAATATTACTTTGAGTGTCTGAAGATCTTGAAAAAATCCCTGTCAATTTACAAGGCTGTGTTTAGAATTTATAATGAGTGCGCTCATTTTCTAGACAAAGTGTTATGTTAGTATCATAATTTTTTTTTATTGAAAACTGATAATGAATACGGTGGTTCTTTGTTGAAAAAATTGATAGTATTATGACTTATTGGTTTAAACAATATTTTATTTCAGTCAAATATATAAAGAAACAATAGTTATTAATGATAACATTCATATATAAACAAAATATTTTATGCTTGTAATTCTGAGTGTTCAATATTTATCAAAGTACAAAAATTATCGGAATGAAGCTAAAGAAATTAAGATAAACATTAAGACATTTATCTACATTAAAAAATATAGCAAATAGTAAATCATTTCATGAAAAAAAGAAAAGGAACAAAAAATCGGTATAGAATTAGTCAAAGAGGGGGAAGAGAAAGAGAGAGAGATAGAGACAGAGAGACCGACAGAGAGACAGAGAAAGACAGAGAGAGAGACAGACAGAGAGACAGACAGAGAGCTTTAGGTTGCTTCGTTATTGGAATGTGTGGGCCGCTTTATGAGAATCTCGTATGAGGTGCTCGTTTAATGAACAGCAGTGATTTCTTAGGCGTGTGTGGTGGATTTGTTATTTTCTGTCTCCATAGTAAAAATGGACTAGAACCTTCCTTATATCCTTGTTGAGTTTGGATTTAAATATTTGTTAAGAGTTGGTGAATTTCGCTCATCAAGAGATAAAAGGTTCCAATCAGTAACAGTTTGAGGAACAAATGAATACGAGAATAGGCAATTATTACATTGAAAGTTTTTTAGGTTGTCTGCATTTCTTAGGTTGTAGGCTGTGGCACTTCCGACATGGCTTGGAACTAATGTTGTAAGAAAAGAGGGTGATAGGTTATTTGACATTATCATTAAAATTAGCAAAACAATAGCACACCTTGAAAACACCTTTACTGATATATAACATTGCTGTTTGTGTTCATTGATTAATATAGGGAAATTTTTTATATATAACAGTTGAGTTGTTTTGGGAGTTTCTTTAAGGGGTTGCACCTGTAATATATCAGTGTAGTTTCTACAGAAGATGGAATTGGGCGAAAAAATCACACATAGATTAATCAGTTGGCATTGGTACTTTCTAGAGTTACATATAAAACAAAGGGAAAGACACAAGAGAAGGAAAAACACTGAAATATTTTTTTATGTTACAAAAAAAATGAAATTGCGATGAAACAGTTAAAATGTATAAAATTCGTTAGTTACAGAGTTATAACACTGGCGACATCTCGGGATGTTTCTAAAAAGATCTTGTTGGACTCGTCATATATTTTAGGAAAAACATCCAACCATATCGCCCCAGCCAGTGTTATATCCTCGTAACTAACGAGTAACATATAATATAACTATTACTTATGACAACAGTTTTATTTTCCTACAAATAGTACTTAAATTCAATCTGTATTAACTTATAAATTTGTGTGATTTACAAAAAAGTATAAAAGAATGGGAACGAATATTCAATTTATACGCAAAGCAAAGTCCAAATACATTAACACCCAATCATATGCTCTCAAAATAACTCCACAATTAAAGCCTGCAAAGACAATCAGGATTAATGTAACAAATAACTGTTATACCGAGAAACTTAATACAATCTGTTAAAATAATAAATAAAACTACCTTTAACAAATATTAGACATTACAGAAACAGAGTACCCTACCACCTTATGACTTTCATGTAGAGATTGTAGAAAATTGAGAGAAATCATTTTTTTTAAATCATGAATGGTCAAATCATTTTTTGTTTGCGTAACTGAGTGAAATAATCTAATAAAATACTTCAAATTAGATTGCCATACTTCCAAGCAGGAAGTGTTTTAATAACAAGCCAAAATCTTAATACAAGAATAACATTCACATGATATGGAAATAATTGACAAAAAATGGCAAGTTAAAGCTTATGCTTATCCCCATGAAAGTCGTGCATCATATAGTAGGAATTGTCTCAGGAATTTAAGATAATCGAGTCAATAGGAGTCTGTTCTATGCTTAGTATAAAAAGTGGGTCAATTTCTCTATTAGAGTGTTAAAATATCGTTAAAAGAATTATGCACCTAAAGTCTGATTGTTTTTTTTTTATTGAAACGTATTAAATTTTTTAAAGCAACACTAAGTTTTGAACTCATTAGAAATTAAATTGTAAGTAATACTTAATTTTGTTAGCTATACATACTTTTTTATTTTCTCCGTGAATGACGCTCTCCCTTACTTGTCTTTGTATTAATATTTAGTACAAAGGACGCGATACTATAATACAATTCACTTTGCTAAATAGTACTTTCTGAACGCAACAATTATTTCAAGTTCTTTAAGTGAATCTTAACTATGTTTAACAGTTAAATCAGAGTATCACATGAAGAGTTTACAGGTTGTATTTGTTTGCTTATCTCTT